TTTTACTTAAAAAACAAATCCAAAATTCTTTAATATATGGCTATTTGTGATTAGATTAAGTAACAAAATATGGTTAACAAGCTTTTCACTTATGTAAGATAAGATAAAACCATGTTATGCATGTTCTTACCTCATCCAATAACATTGAAATCTAAAAAGAAAATTAAAATCATTAATGTTGTTATGTAGTCGTGTTCAAATTGTGTTTGCCGCAACTTTAAAATTAGATAATTTTTGAATTCTTATTCGGGGCTCTTAATAACTCCTTTTGAGTTAAACCTACAATCTATTCGAGCTAAGCTGAATAAACTTGAAATCAATTTCTAATATGGAACGGTACTTAAAAATCAGCATAGAATTTAGGACTTCTAGTATGGAGTGGTGCTCAAAATTTAGGTTTAAAATCAATTTTCTAGTATGGAGCGGTGCTTGAAAATCAACTCAAAGATTTCAAGTTGAGCCATTTCCAAGCAATATTTCTAGCGAGTTGAAAGCTTTCTAGCTTTTTAAACAGTCATCAATCTCATTTGAAGAATTTCATCCAAAAACTCATTATACAAAAATAAATTAGCAAGTCACACATCGCTCCTCTCTTTTCTCTTTTTCTCTCTCTTTCATATTTGTAAATCAATCAAATCTAACATCTTTTTCAATAATAAATTGAGGGCATATTTAATTGCTGGCAAAAAAGATTACTACTTATGTTTCTTGCTAACATTGGATTAGAAAGAATACATCAAGGTTTCTTTTGATTGATTCTGCCTGCAAATATTTGGAGCTAATGTGAGTTTTTGATTGATATGCATCCTTCGTTATTTCTTGCAAATACTTACTCCTCTTGCGCAAAGGTTGTTCTTTTTCGCAAGGTTCTTAATGCAGCTAACCTTCCGGAAAACAACTGAAAGACTCTGATTTTCCTTTGGAAGAATTGGATAGCCCTCTCCTGCAAAGATCAAAACTATGCTTTAGCTTGCTGTGAAAGTTATCCCATATGTACATAATTTGTTGATTCATTCTTTGTTTTTATTATTTTTTAGCAAAATTTGAGATCTAGATCATTGGTTACAATGGAAAAAATTAAAGAATACTCACTTGATGGAAGATTTGCCATGAGCATGACAAATCAAGGAGAATGATCATAAGAAGAAAGAAGAAGAAGAAGAAGCATCCTCCATGAGATCGCTTGCCGCTCGAAGAAAAGCACTGAATCAATCAAATTCTTCATCTGAGAATGGAATCCTGAATTCTCAAGAACTTGCGGTCACCAAAATCCTCTCTCTGCCATTGGAAGCACAAAAGAAATCAAGAACAAGCTTCTTGATGATACAATATGTTAACTTATCTTTCTTGATGTTTTGCTTTAAATAGGAAACAGAAATGAATTATTTTTTTGACTCTTGGATGGTACTGTCTCTCTCATTATAAAATAAACATTTAAAGTTATCTTTTTTATTTATTTTATTTATGAGAATGCTATCCAAATCTTGCCATAGGAATCAAGGTGCAAACTTTTTATTTAAGTTTTCATCCACATCTATCACCACTTTTTTGGGCGATTAATTACTTTGGATTTTTTGTTTTTTTTGCTATTATAATAAATATAAAAATATATATGTTGGACAATAAAAGAGCTTTGTAATTTTTTTATATGAATTATTTTAGTTTTATTTATTAATATATAGAAAATGAATTAATAATAAATTATCCACAAAAAAAAGGCCAACACAAATATCAACTTTTTGTTTGAAAGATTAGGAGGAGAGAAAAATTTAGCTTGTGGCAATAAGGTTGAATGTAGACCAATTCTTATCTCTAAACTTGTTTAGATGAGATGGAATAAGGTTGGGAATGCATAAGGATTCCCAAACCTTATAGTGGGAATATTGGTTTATCACTGCCAATTTTGGATTATTGTTCGATTTTGTTGGATTCTCATTTCCTTAAGGAAGAAAAAAAAAAAAGCAAAGTAAGAAGGTCATACGCTCAGAAAAGAAATATAAAAAACCGTTGGCAAACAATATTTATCTTGAATATCTACTTGTTGTCACTTCCTCAAAGAAGGTACATGACGAAATAAACCCCAATATCTCGATGGGCCTACCAGCAGCTAGGGTGGTCAATATTTGACACGACCCGAAAACGGCCGACCCGAACCTGACCCGAAAATATTTCGGTTTTAGGTCAACCCGAAACCGGAAAAATTTCGGTGTTAGGGTCAACCCGAACCCGAAACGCGTCGGGTTCGGGTTCAGCATTCAGACCCGTTTCAAAAATCAAGTGGGTCGGAGTTCGGGTTAAACCCTTTGATCCCGAAAATTGACCCGAGAAGTGACCCGATTTTTGACCACGAAAACCCGCATTTGACCCGTAGGAACCCGAGATTGACCCGATTTTGACCCGAAAAGAGGAGTTTGAACCCGTTTTGGTCCCCGAAAATTATCATTTTCTTTTGGAAACGGGTCATTCGGGTCGGGTCGGGTTTTGACCCGGACCCGAAGCGGGTCGGGTTCGGTCAGGAAATCTGAACCGTTTTAAAAACGGGTCGGAGTTCGGGTTGACCCGAATAGGCCGGGTCTGTTTCGGTTCGACCCGAACCACGACCCGTGACCCGGAAATTGACACCCCTACCAGCAGCCAACTCCACAGGTGGCCGGGCCTCACACAAATATTTTTTTTAGATATATATATGATACTGCAATCTCAATGCAAATATGATGGCTTCGAAAATCGTCTTGATGTGTTTTGATTAGGAATTGTTATTGATATTAATTTTTTTTTTTTCTATTTTAGATTCAAAGCTATTTGCTGACCCAATCAATCAAAATAGGTAACAATTATGAGTTTGGGTTGGGCCAAAGTATCCCTATTTGATCAAATCTTAAAAATTTGTTCATCGTGGATAAATAATTTGATTGGTAGCATTTATGAATGACATTGTATTTCATTTTCTTTTTTGTGTTCTATTTAAAGCAAAGGAAATATCAACTCAAGTCCTTTTTCTACTATGTTGAAGATTCAAATATCTGAAATTGCTTCTGAAAATCTCTTATTATTTTCAAATATTTGAAATTCCTAAATCAATTGATCTGCCAAATCTCATATTTGTTACCTTCTTGCTTGCCATCCTCCCTCAACTAGTATCCATAAACCCCTCATTTGTAATCATCACCCCTTACACGCCAATATGCCCCCTATTTGACATCCTTTGATGGTATCCGCTCATACAACATTTCTCGCCCATGCATTCCTCGTCATCAATTTTGAAAGGAAAATATTTCGTGCGGATCCCAAACGGCATCCGGAACCAATCAGAATACGCCATGTCACTTTGTTGCTTGTTACCCGGTTGCTCCTGGTATCGAGTGATGCTGGCGCAATTCAGGTTGATCTCTGTAACCGTCCGTTGTCCGCACAAAATTAGTTTCTCCATCTAAATCATTTGAAAGTTACAACTAAATGTACGAGCACCGACTGTGCACGAGAGAGAGAGTCAGGGAGATAATATGAAAATTTACAAAATAACAAGATAAAAAAAAAATAAATACATTTGATTTACATCTGCAGCCAACCAGCTTCAATTACTCTTATATTTCTGCATCTGCTTGGTAATTTCATTTCTACTTATTCAACAAGCAATTTCAAGAAAAAATAACAAAGGGAAAATAAACCTCGCAAGGGCTGAAAACCATTAATATTCAAAATTCGTGCTCCCTAAGAGTGTTCAATCTTTGAGTTGGTGCTGCTTCATGTCAAGGAACTTCTTGGTCATACTTGCCAATTGATGTTTCCCCTTGCATGTTTCAGGATGGTTTTATTCAGCAGTGATGAAAGAAAGCAGAATTGCAGCTGAAAAATGAAAGATCTAGTTTCAGTTGTCAAAAATATATGCAAAACAGGCTTGCCATGTCAACTGAAAAGAGAGATGAAAGATTCAACTTTTTTTTACACTTGTGAGGAATAAGTATTATGTGAGGATTTGCAAATAAAAAAAAATTCTTATAAAAGATATCCAAGTGCAACTACTTAAAAAAATATATTGGAACATCCTGATGAAAGTCTTAAGGCTAAGCAGAAACAAAGAAGGTCAATCAAAAAGGTAGGCTTGTCTCCATTCTCAATACAAAAACTATTGTTGGAAACATCAAATCCGTATAGTGTAGGAGAAATAAATATAACTGATAAAGTCATGAAAATGTTTAATTAAATCAGCGTCAGAGATTGTATATATATAAAGAAGACTACCATAAATAGATAAAATAGACAATATCAAAAGTTAGCTGAAGAAACTACTCTACATTAAACGCACCTTCCTTGACATTGTTTTGCGGTATTCTCATAAATCAATTCCTTCAAAAACTAAAATAATCTCACTTCAAGCTGCTTGGAAAGTTCTCACATACATTTAAAATAAGGTTTCGTTTGAACGATTTTCTTACTGTTTTTTAAAGTAACTTTCTTAGCACAAATTTTTTTTTTTTTAAAACTAAAAAGCAGTAAGAAAGCCGTCCCAAAACAAAGCCTAAATCTAGAAAAATGGATTCTCTAAAAATGCTTATGATACCCTACAACTTGAAGTTATGCTGATGGCTGACTATATGGGATTACCACTTGATAAGAGATTCACTTCATAAATATTATACACTTAAAGGAAGAATCCATAACATGAGAGCAAGAAACAACATTTTTTTTTCAGAATCCATGGGAATCTAAATTCAAATAATGCCTAAGGTATTTACAAACTTTTAATAGATTAAAATCATTTTAGGTGATTATGATGGGAAACAAACCTGAAATATATCAAGCACATAAAGAAACTACAAGAAAGAAAAAGTGAACCTATGAAAAAACAAGCATTCAATTATTTAAAGAACCATTTGAAAGGGTTTCCTATTAGAAACCCAACTGCATGAAGTTAAAATAGAATACTCCAATCTCGAGTTAAGAAAATGAAGATATTCAATTCTGACCAGGAAGGCACATCAAAGCTAACATTATTCTGTAATTAAGGAGGATTCAAATAAATTAAAATATGTTACCTGTTGATATGCTTAGTGCTTGTGCGGTATAATTCAAATTTGCTTTCGCCCAAGGAATGACTCGACAACCAACGAGCTGCAACACAAATATTATGAAGGAAAAGGCATTATGAAAGATTAAATGTCATCAAAAAATAAAACTAAGTCCTCAGATACACAATGCTTAGAGAAAGAAGGAAAATTCACATAAAATATATTGTCTAAGTAAAGTGCATCTTTGGATCTCTAAAAAAGTGATATTTTTATATTGAAGAAACGTAGTATAAGCATACCGTGGGAACTGCAACTACAGAGCCTGCAATAATGGCCATTTTGAGACCTCTTTGAACTGCATCTGAAAAAAGAAGCCGGCAGTGCATAACAAAATTTGTATATATCAGAAAACAAGATTAATGGAAGTAGACAGATATGTTGATGCATAGAAATTCATACAAACTACTTGAGGACTAATTTGGTTGCATCTATACAGAAAAGAAAAACTAGAAAACAATTTCGTTTTCATTCAATTATATTTGAAAAATAAAATCATTAAATTTGAGAGAGTTTTGATTGCAGAGACCTCTACAATCATCAAAATTTCATACAGAATTAATACTAGATTTTATTCTTCGAAATCAAAATTAATAAATAAGAACACACAATTAAGATCCAACAAGACGGCAACTTTCTATATGAAAGTGTTTAGTAAAAATCGAACCTGTGTTGGGGATGTCTTGCTATCTATAACCCTGGGCTCGTTGGGAGAAGCTGCCACCATGAAAGATGATATCTTGCTTGCCCTAAGGCCCACCACATCAGAATGAATACCCATATCAATCAAATCTGTCCGAGTTTGGGCCAATTTTCTGCTCCTTGGAATCGCTGTAGATATCTTGTGAAAGTACGAGTTGGATTGATTTAACGTATTCTTGGCACGAGAAAAAAAAAAACCCGGCGCGACAAGCGCGGTGAGATCTTTCGTTTATCTTAGCAGCAAGCTCCCCGCGCGACTTGCAATCGAACAGGAAACGTAGAAGGAAGCGGAGAAGCTTAGAACGCTAAGCAGAAACAGCAACGAAAAAATGCAGAAGAGAATAGGAAAAGCAATCGTAGACAGGCAAAGGCTCTATTGACTGGCTCGAAGCTTCCGTTTGTGGGTTATAAATAGGGAAAAAGCAAACTAACCGCCTCAGGCAGGAATGAAAAAGGAGATCGCAAAACCGTCCGTCACTCCGACGACAAAACCGCTCCGCTTTCTACCTATTTAGGTTCGTTTGGTTTAAAAGTTGTTTTGAGCAAATATGTTTAAATAAATTAGTGGTTTTAAGATTACCGATATTTTTGTTTTTTTAATTGTTTATGTATATATAAATAATAGATAAATTATTTGATTGTGTTATCAGCAATAGGGCACAAATTGATAATTTTTTAATTATTCTTAAACATTAATGGTGATTTTTTATTTACTTTATGTTTAATAGTTATAGTAAGGTAATATTTTGATCTTTAAAAAATATTAATATTTATTTTAATAACTCATCAAACTTATATTATATTAGTTATTAGATATAAATTAATAATTATTTTGTTCAACTTAAATATATATTAGGAAATATGAATTTTTTGGCTTATAAACTTTTTAATACTGTTTTGAAGACTAAAAAGATGTCAAATGAGTTGAGATTGAGTTGTGATAATTTAATATTTTTAAGAATAAAGATTATGAACAAAATTGTGCTAACTATAAAGGAATTAAGTAAATGTGTCATACTTTAAACTATGGGAGCGAGTTATGAAGAGTAGGTTGGCGGAGTGATACTAAGTTTTCTCAAAATCAATTTGGATTCAGGCCAGATAGGTCTACTTGGAAGCCATACATTTATTGAGAGGCTTGATGAAGAAACATAGAGAGAATAAGGAGGATCTACATATGATATTTATTGATTAGAGTAGCATATGATAAAGTTACAAGAGAAGCTGATAGGGAGAGCTTTGAAAGAAAAGGAGTTAATATCGCTTATATTCAAATCATTAAAGATATGTACGGAGTTATTAACTTGGTGTTCAAACATAAGGTTGTTTGACCAAGTATTTTTCCTATTTCAGTTGGATTACATCACAGATCAGCCTTAACCCATATCTTTTTGCTTTAAGTTCATGAATGTTCTCCACTAGACATTTGCAAGAGGATGTACCTTGGTGTATGCTTTTGCAGATGATATTTCTTCTTGTTGTTAAGACTAGAGAGGGAGTTGATGATACACTTGAATTATAGAGGTCAATCTTAGAGTCTAAAGGTTTTCGCTTGAGTAGATCTAAAATTAAATATATTGAATGCAATTTTAATAGTAATAGACCTAGTGAGGGAATTGTGACTTTGGGCGATCAAAGTCATTAATAAGATACAC